TAACAAGTAAAAATGCATAAATATTGAGATTTTCGTATTTTTTTCCTAATCGGAGTTCGAGTCTTGCCATGAAATTGATAGGGCACTATTTCAACACCATCTCCAACCCACATGAAAAATCCCATTAACTCAAACCCCGTCGAAATATGAAAAACTACCCTTAACAAGTAAAAATGCATAAATATTGAGATTTTCGTATTTTTTTTCCAACTCGGACTTCGAGTCTTGCCTTGAAATTGATAGGGTACTATTTTAACATCGTCTCCAACCCCTATGCAAAATCCCAATAACTCAAACCCCGTCGAAATATGAAAAACTCCCCTTAACAAGTAAAAAAGCATAAATATTGAGATTTTCGTATTTTTTTCCAACTTGGACCTCAAGTCTTGCCATGAAATTGATAGGGTACTATTTCAACACAATCTACAACCCACATAAAAAATCCCATTAACTCAAACGCTGTCGAAATATGAAAAACTACCCTTAACAAGTAAAAATGCATAAATATTGAGATTTTCGTATTTTTTTCCTAATCGGAGTTCGAGTCTTGCCATGAAATTGATAGGGCACTATTTCAACACCATCTCCAACCCACATGAAAAATCCCATTAACTCAAACCCCGTCGAAATATGAAAAACTACCCTTAACAAGTAAAAATGCATAAATATTGAGATTTTCGTATTTTTTTTCCAACTAGGACTTCGAGTCTTGCCTTGAAATTGATAGGGTACTATTTTAACATCGTCTCCAACCCCTATGCAAAATCCCAATAACTCAAACCCCGTCGAAATATGAAAAACTCCCCTTAACAAGTAAAAAAGCATAAATATTGAGATTTTCGTATTTTTTTCCAACTTGGACCTCAAGTCTTGCCATGAAATTGATAGGGTACTATTTCAACACAATCTACAACCCACATAAAAAATCCCATTAACTCAAACGCTGTCGAAATATGAAAAACTACCCTTAACAAGTAAAAATGCATAAATATTGAGATTTTCGTATTTTTTTCCTAATCGGAGTTCGAGTCTTGCCATGAAATTGATAGGGCACTATTTCAACACCATCTCCAACCCACATGAAAAATCCCATTAACTCAAACCCCGTCGAAATATGAAAAACTACCCTTAACAAGTAAAAATGCATAAATATTGAGATTTTCGTATTTTTTTTCCAACTCGGACTTCGAGTCTTGCCTTGAAATTGATAGGGTACTATTTTAACATCGTCTCCAACCCCTATGCAAAATCCCAATAACTCAAACCCCGTCGAAATATGAAAAACTACCCTTAACAAGTAAAAAAGCATAAATATTGAGATTTTCGTATTTTTTTCCTAATCGGAGTTCGAGTCTTGCCATGAAATTGATAGGGCACTATTTCAACACCATCTCCAACCCACATGAAAAATCCCATTAACTCAAACCCCGTCGAAATATGAAAAACTACCCTTAACAAGTAAAAATGCATAAATATTGAGATTTTCGTATTTTTTTCCTAATCGGAGTTCGAGTCTTGCCATGAAATTGATAGGGCACTATTTCAACACCATCTCCAACCCACATGAAAAATCCCATTAACTCAAACCCCGTCGAAATATGAAAAACTACCCTTAACAAGTAAAAATGCATAAATATTGAGATTTTCGTATTTTTTTTCCAACTCGGACTTCGAGTCTTGCCTTGAAATTGATAGGGTACTATTTTAACATCGTCTCCAACCCCTATGCAAAATCCCAATAACTCAAACCCCGTCGAAATATGAAAAACTACCCTTAACAAGTAAAAAAGCATAAATATTGAGATTTTCGTATTTTTTTCCTAATCGGAGTTCGAGTCTTGCCATGAAATTGATAGGGCACTATTTCAACACCATCTCCAACCCACATGAAAAATCCCATTAACTCAAACCCCGTCGAAATATGAAAAACTACCCTTAACAAGTAAAAATGCATTAATATTGAGATTTTCGTATTTTTTTTCCAACTCGGACTTCGAGTCTTGCCTTGAAATTGATAGGGTACTATTTTAACATCGTCTCCAACCCCTATGCAAAACCCCGTCGAAATATGAAAAACTACCCTTAACAAGTAAAAAAGCATAAATATTAAGATTTCCATATTTTTTTCCAAGTCGGACTTTGATCCTCGCCATGAAATTGATAGGGCACTATTTGAACACCATCTCCAACCCACATGCAAAATCCCATTAACTCAAAACCCGTCGAAATATGAAAAACTACCCTTAACAAGTAAAAAAGCATAAATATTGAAATTTCCGTATTTTTTTCCAACTCGGACTTCGAGTCTTGCCTTGAAATTGAGGGTATAGTTTATCTATTCTAAATTGATCCACTTTATTTTCAAGCTATGTATAAGGTAAAATCAAATATTAGGCACTTTTGGCGTGAATAAATACTCATAAAACCTATATAAATGTTTTGAATATTCCCTACTAGAAACTACAATCGGCAAAATGAAATACTGGTTGTCGGAACGGAATTTCGAAAAGATTTCTTCATGTTTATTTGCCTGGGCGACGCGACGGCGCGGCGTCGGCGGTGTTAGTTTGTTTTTTATGTCAGAGGCGGAGGCAAGGTTTATACATGTGTATATTTTTATAAAATAATTTTTTAAAATTTTTAAAAAATATCTCCTAAACGGCACTGGAGCATGTGTATTCCAAAATATCTCAAATATAATAAAAAATATAAATTAAATTTTACGTAGAATAATATCTAAACTATATTGATTTATTATAATTATGAAACATTTTTGGGAACCTCGCCGCCTATGCTTCGTAAAGAAAACGCCGACTGTTAATGGAGATTTATTTTATGTGGTGGTTCAATTGAGAATAGATAAACTATACTAAAGTATAGTTTATATACTTGTATAATGTAAAAGTGTTAATGCTTTCAAATTGTTTATGTAGAAAAGGCTTGTGTTGCCAACATAGTTACTAAATTTTTGACTTGGGGAAATATCTTAAAAAAAAACAGACCTTATTTTAACATCATCTCCAACCCCCACGCAAAAAACCGGTGTGAAATTGGCAGCCAAAACTTGGCAGCCAATTAGACGAAAACACCCGAACGACCATTGGCTTAGCATTTTTTTTAAATTCAAAATAAATTCAATAGGAAAAACTACCCTTAACACATAAAATGAATAAACATTGAAATTTTCATATTTTTTTTCCAACTTGGACTTCGAGTCTTGCCACGAAATTATTAGGATACTATTCTAACACAATTTTCAACCCCCATGCAAAATCCAATTGACTCAAATTCTGTCGCCATATGAAAAACTACCCTTAACAACTAAAAATGCATAAATAATAAGATTTTTGTATTTTTTCCAACTCATACTTTGAGTCTTGCCACGAAATTATTAGGATACTATTCTAACACAATTTTCAACCCCCATGCAAAATCCAATTGACTCAAACCCTGTCGGAATACGAAAAACTACCCTCAACAAATAAAAATGCCTAAATATTGAGATTTTCGTATTTTCTTCCAACTCGGACTTCGAGTCTTGCCATGAAATTAAATGGGGGTTGGAAATGGTGTTAGATTAGTACCCTATTAATTTCATTCATTTCCAACCTCCATGCAAAGTCCCATTGACTCAAACCCTGTCGAAATATGAAAAACCATCCTTAAGGGGATTGAATGCGCCTCAATGCCCAAATATTTTTTCCTGCGCGAAGCACCTAACGCAGTCTATCATTGTATTCTTCCTCCCCTATTAATACTTCTTAGTGGGAATGAGATGAATGAAACAAGGAATGCATTGCGTTCTTAATTTCAACGTAAGTTTTTAGCAGTTGAAGTTATATCAAATTTCTTTTTTGCATTCGATTTATAATATAGAGACGACTGGCGCTATCTTTTTAGAAATCCGGTAATAGAAACGAGTTCTCGAAAAATTACAAAAATGTAATTCAGACTGGAAAAAAACGAGAAAATTAATCAATTTATGGTGTCTTTTTTAATTAGCGCCAATCTTATGTGTGTTAGCAATACAATAGCACAAACCAGAATCCCAAAAATTATCTAGTTTTTTTTGTAGAAATTTAATTAATTCTTCTTGTCATTTTGCCTGTCTCTGTTCTCTGTTATACCCGCAGCAAACCCTATAGCTCTTTCCTCCGCCTGTTTTGCGATAAATTTTAAATCGCTATCATGAAGGATCCAGCACCAACCGGCCCAACAGTAGCCCAATGCAATATAATTAATTATATATTAATAATAATAATAATAATAATAATAATAATAATAATAATAATAATAAATGACATTTTTTACTACTAACCTGAGAAATAGTCATTATTCAATCTATTTTTCTAGGAAAAAATTGAATTTCTCTCCCTAGGTCAATAATGAAAATGACGTCATGACGCAAGGATGTTTCTTTTGGTTTAACTTCAATTTCATGCGTCAATTTAAAAAAAAAAACAGGTTTCTGTAGGTACATAGGAAGTTATTTCAATACTACTGCACCAGTTAGCACCTATTTAAAGTTAATTGGTTTTTTGTTATGATCAATCGAAACCATCAGACAAACATGAATATATTATTGGAACTAATGCTTTAAAATATATGTATTCATAAGAACAGTCTCCTGAAGCATGCATGTCAAGTTAAACTCTATATTTCTTTGAAGTCCCAAGATCATTCTCTATGCATGAATGTCTAAAGACGCGAAGTCAAGTAATTTTTCATTGCATTTCATCTCATCACTTATATTCCAAATATTCGAGTATCACTACCACTCTAAATAGAGAGCATTGCCTATGGGAAACCTAAAAATAAACTCGGGAGTAGGGAATTCCTTGATTCTGTCGGCGGTCGTCTGGCCTGGCACTTTCATTTCCATTCCAGTCTACTTTCAGATTCAATCTTTACACGAATTAAATTTTTTTGTTAGTTTTCTTTGTTGTTTACTTGAGAAATATTTATTTTTTTTGGTATATTTTTGAGCGAATTTGCTAAAAATGAGCAAAAAGAGAAGGTTGAATAAATTGATTTCAAAATGGATTAAAAGGTAAGTTGTATTTTTTTCTGTGAAGCAATTTTGCGTTCAGCAGTGACTCATCCAAAATATTTTGGAATTTTTACTCGCCTACATTTTTGGTATAAAACGTGCTTTGAAAAATTTAGAAGGTGAATTTTATGCAGCAAAACAAAAATATTAACTTAAGAACATACTCTATGTTGTGTTTTTCATAATCCACTAAGGAAAAAGTGCCAGTACCGTATAACCTCGTTGCACTAGTATTCTAGCTAAAAATATAAATCATAATGAAAATAGAAACTGTGTCAGCTGATTTTAGCTTGAAAGTTTCAGTTGCTCCATCCAGTTGAATTTTTTGTTTGTATTTTTGAAATACTAAAACTGCATATTCAAATTTCTCATAACTATAATAATTATTAGATTACCTCTTAATTACATGCTGGAATGTATTAGGACTTTGATACCACATACATTAAAGGCGCAAATATGTTAAATTGAGCCAGCCTCGCAATAAATATCAAGCGGTTCATTTGACGTACCTTACCTAAACATGACCACGTGTAACGATTCTAGGTACCTAACATTATAATTAAGACCAGATGTAGTGTAGAGTAATGATATGAAATTACTATTAAGTTTGTTTGCTGCCTCTTGATGTGGATTTTCGAATTCAAATTTACCGATTACCTGATTTAATATTTAGTAATTTGTTGTGATTTTTTTTTACTTGAGAAAGTGGAAAGTACGAAAATGTATATCCAGGTGACGAGATTATTTACCAAGCTGTGATTTCCTATTATAATACATTTTTGAACTCTGCGAGAAATTAAAAGCATATTTTGTGTATAATATCCTAAGGTACCTAACTAACAGTCTAAAAATTTTGTAATATGGGCTCATTCATTTTAAATAAAGAAGTTGATGGCACTTCTGGTCAAACTACATCGATATCGATAATATGCATCCCCAAAATTTAAAATCTATCGATTTTCATGCCCAAGATGATAGAGCTTGGTCTTGGTAAGTAATCTCGCGTGGTCACCCGTTATTTTATAAGTAATAATACATATTTATAAGCATGAGAAACGATATGTATTTTCATTTTCTTAGATATGAAGATTAAAAATTTTGTACCTATCTCTGTTTATTGGTCATTGGGAGCTCTAATTGAAAAACTAGCTCCGCATTCAGGATTATGATTTGAAATTCCTTGAAAAAAATTTCGTCAACCTGCGGTTTCACCCGCCGTTATATTTAAAAAAAATCGGACTACCTATAAACTATAATATAGAGTACTCCATCATAGACAATATTTTTAAACAACAATATATCCAAAAACCACGTAGATAGGCTCAAATAAATTTCGTCGGGCGGCCGTCCTTGGATTTCAGTACATTATTAACATTTTAAAACAAATTTTTTTAGATGTTGTTTGCATTTTTCGCTATGCCTATTAGGTTAACCAAAATATAATAATATTTTCCATCAAAAGTTTATATGTATTCTCATCCTCTACCGCTGGCGCAAACAACTGAACCAACAGTGCTAGTGGACCATAAAGTTGATTCGAAAAATCTAGGCCGATAAGCAATCCTTGTTTTGTAGTTTGCGATATCCTTGTGCAAACTCTCAAACTGTCAGATGTTCAACATAACCTTGTTGTTATTTAATTATGAAAGGACGTCGCAATCTGACGCAGCGAACTTCGTATCGGTTATCGGAGATGGCACCGTATGCGGATTTCATGAATTTTCTTCATAAATTTGTTTTTCGTGATTTTTTTTCCATTTTTTAATAATTATTATGCTAGTTGGGGCAAAAACAAATCCAACAACGGAAAAATCATAAAAATCGGTCCAGCCGTTCTCGAGTTAGAAATGGTGTAACTGACCGACTTTGTTTTATATGGACTAGGTTTTTCCCGCGGTTCCACACGCCGTCTAATTTGGAAGAACATTGACAGTAACATTGACATTGCAGGTGTGATAAAATTGGGGTAATAGTGAAATAATAAGGCCCCCACAGACTGCGTTTTTGTTTGACGGTTTTGTTCGACGAGCAAATCTGGTCAAGCAAAAACGACGGATCGGAGTTGCCCACAGACCTCGGTTTAGTTAAGCGCAGATCAAAGATGTTGAAAAGTTTTAAACATAAAATTCTGTAGCTATGCACCACAAACCACATAAAACTGTCGTTTTTAAAATTCGTAGCCCCACACACTTGAGATTTGTTGACATATCGAATATATCCGACGGACAAAATCAGGCGAAGCCAGATATTTGCATCGGTTTTGTATGCCAGCACCTCGTCGAACAAAACCGTCCAACAAAAACGCAGTCTGTGGGGCCCTTAAGAGGTCTGTTCCAACACGTCATAAACCGTCCCATGAACGGTTTCAGAACCACTAGTGAACGAATTTTGGTTTCTACGCACAAATTTTACGCTATACGCAGAATCGTGACGGTATTATACATTGTACGGTTTTCTGCTGTGTTGGAACAGATCTAAGAGTGGCGCGGGCTGTGGGGGAAAAAATGAGTTCCATCATAAAAACATGCCTGTCACTCTCAGGAACGTGTAGAATTCATTGATGCGGGCACGACTGGACATATTTTCAATTTTATAGGTATAGATGAGCCATTCAATCTCCTATTTGTTTTTCAGCGACCTTCCCGACGATCGCTCATCGGTGCTTCTTTTAAGAGTCACAAGTGCTAAACCATCTCCAAAACCACCCAGACGACCATTTTCCCTACCATTAGCTCTAGGAGTAGTATCAACTTGTTCCAAGGTAAATGAATGAATAATTGTAACAGTTTGCTTTAAATTAGCATCATGTCACAGGATGTTCCCCCTCTCCTCTTGTGATTGAACAAAACTTGATAAAGTAACCTAAAATATACATATAACAATAAGTCAAAATCACGGAAAAACTAGCACTTCTACAACACGTTCAATCACCTGAATTAAGCTTGAATGTTCAGAAAATTAAACCCATCACTTTTGCTGATCAATTTACTAATTCACGACTAGGGACCGGTCTATGAGAGGACGGTTATTCAGTTCAGCTGTCAGTTAACTAATAATTATCATTAGCTAACTGACCAAACTAGATAGCCGTCTACTGATAAACCGGCCCTAACTCGTTCAATTCAATATACAGAGTGTACGAAAGGTAACGGGACGGTCAATTATCAACCAGTGGTGCAATTCGAACAAAATCTCATGTTTAGGCTTTACTTGAAAAGCCGCATTCAAAAATTGTATCAACGTTGTTGCCAGACTGACCAATTTGTCTGTAGGTACACAATCTTTCGTAAGTAAAATGTAATTTCATCTCAATCGATTGATCTTGTTTGATTTAGTGAAAACGGAATTACAGGTGGATGAAATCAATAGTAGGACAAGAGCAATCGATGGAGGTTAAAATAAGTGGAGTGTTTCATTTAAAATAAAAAATATTGTGTGCCTTCAGAAAAATTGGTAAGCTTGGCAACAGCGTCAATGCGATTTTTGAATAAGGCTTGTCAAATAAAGTAAAGGTACAGGGTATTTGTTTATAACTGGAACACTCAGTAACTTCTTCATCATTATTGAAAATAAAGGGCAAGTTTAAATTGGAAAATTTCTTGGTAAATTGCAACGATCTTAATCGCTGCAACGATATTTTTTTGTCGCTATAGGTATACAGGGTGCGCCAAAAAAGTATTTTTTTTTTTTAAATGAAACGCCCTCTATATTTTTGCATTTTTAAAATTTTTAGAAAATTAGCTTCTCAAAAATATCAAACACTATTTGCATAACAAAAGTAAACAGGGCATTCCATTTAAAAAAAAGAATACTTTTTGGCGCACCCTGTATACCTATGACGACAAAAAAATATCGTTGTATCGCTTAAGGCTGCAATTTACCAAGAAATTTGCCAACTTAAACATGCCCTTTATTTTCAATAATAAGAAAGTTACTTAGTGTTCCAGTTATAAAGAAACACCCAGTACCATATTGTTCCATATGTTCAAATTGCACCAGTGGTTTCAGAGAAAATTTTTTGATGACAGCCAGTTGTAGTACAACATACCCGGGTTCGTTCAGTAAGATTGAACGATGAGAATTTTTATTACCTTTAAACAACAAATATTCTGAAAAACGAAATGAAAAACAAATAGGACCTACGTTGTGGAAACTTACTCAATTTTACTTACTGGACATGCGCCCGACATAGCAAATATTTGGGTTTGAGGGAAGAAGAGTGTTCTAGCGACAGAGCACAAACAGCTGTTCCAGTTGCCGCTGGTAAAAGGGTTAAATGCGCTGTTGCCAGTTGTGATTAAATGTAGTGCGTCGTGAGAACAAAATTAAGACTTATTGCAAAAAATAAATTAAAATTGTGTATGATTAGTGTTGTAAAATTCTCGGTAATTTTCGAACGTTACCGAACTTTCGGGAATGTTTGAGAATTTTCGAGAATTTATGAGAACTTTGGAGAATGTTGCAGAAGCACCTATAAATTCAACTTTTTAATGTAGGGCTTGTACTAAAAATGTCTATTAATAATAAAGTTTCACTAAAGGACCCCGCACACCTCTTATGGGTTTTTGGTTTTCTGTCACACTCAATGAAATTTTGATATGTGTTAGACCTTGACTCCCCGATAAAAAGTTCTCATGGGCCCGAACCAATCCTATGATTAGTTTTTGAGATACAGGTACTTTAATGTCCAAGAAATGTACACATTTTATATGTATTCACATCTACCTGTCACCTAATAATAGGTCTGTTTCTGCAAAAATCACAAACCCGTTAGAGCGAATTTGATTGGTCGAAAACAGTCAGAAACAGTCGGAAAACTAGTTTCAACCAATGAAATTCACTCTGACAGACCCATTAATAGGTTACAGATAGATGTGAATGCATATAAAATGTGTACATTTCTTGGACATTAAACCACCTGTATTTCGGAAACTATTCATAGTATCGGATTGGGCCTATGAGAACTTTTTATCAGTAAGTCAAAATATACCACATATCAAAATTTCATTGAGTTTGACAGAAAACCAAAAACCCATAAGAGGTGTGCGGGATCCTTTCCCTATTTTTCTTTTCTCTGGTAGGGGTAGGTGAATTTTCCATGAATGTAAATATAACCCTTGTCTATGTATTATTAATTTTTTCTGAAGAAAATGATAATATTTATAAAACTAATACAAGTCTTGTTTCTTGTGAGTTGGAATAATAAAAAACAAACTAAAAAACAAAGTAGATGTAGGTAGCAGTAGCACCAAAAAATAAAACTCAAAAAAATCTTTAAATGCAAATACCGAGGCAAATACCTACATAATATAACTTCATAAAGTGTTAAGTAAAATCAAAAAATTATATAAAAAAATAAATTTAAAAATAAAATAGGAACTCTAAAAAAAGGAACTTAAAAAACGAATATCTGTAGGTAATGGTAATAACACAAGTAGTTATAAAATAAAGAAATAATAATAAAAATATTCAGAAATCAGGGTCCATGCCCATGATTAATTCTGAAAAGTCTTCAGGCCCAACTGACGCTACATGGAGAGAGTATTCTCCTTCTTCTTCTAAAGATGACTCAAATCGAATGATTGGGTAACGTTTAGAAATGCATTTTCAGCGAACTTTCGCTTAGAGAGGAGCGAACATTACCGTAAATTACGGTAATAGTGCGAACGTTCGCTCGGTAAAGTTCGCTTGTTACAACACTATGTAAGATAATAATTTTTGAAAAAATTATAAACTTTTGAATCCCTAGGTAATTGATTTAACTATTTTTATTGGTATTTTGCCAACATTTTAGAATTAAGTCTGTTAACCTACAAACAGTAGAAGCAAGAAAATCCACACATACAAAACACAGTATTGGAAATAATGCTATGCTGACAATTAGTGGCAATACTGTCAAAATGCAAGAAGTTACGTAGTAATGATAAAGTCCGTAGAGAGTTTTTTATTTATTTTCTGAAAAAGGACTACAGAAAATTCAATTTTAGATGGTTATCCTAGCATTACTTTAGTACGCGTTTAATCACTACGTTTTCGTGGAGTTTTTAAATCGTTTTGAATCCAATCCTCTTCCCCGTTTTCATGTAGAGGGAAAATTAGAATTGAAATCGAATTGCAAGTTTCTAAATTTAACTCTCGATACTATCCCAAAAAAAAGTGAAACGACCTTGAGACTGAAATCGATTCAAGTACTTGTTTTCATAGCGTTTTCAATACCAAAACTGTATTCAAAACTCTTTGCGGATCCAAATACAGACTCGTTTCGGTATTTTCTTTCACATTCTAGCAGATTTTTGTTTATTTGATGCACGAAATGGGAACGAATTTCTGCCATGCCATAACCAAATTGCAAAGTTTTAGAAATAAGTCAGCTGCCACACAGCTTTTTGGTAATCTTCTCCATATAGGCACCTAAGCCTTGGGTTCATATTACCAAAAGAACACCCACTTGTTATTATTAAAAGACCAATCTCAGAGTGAAAATTACACATTCTTTTAATTATTATTTAAAAGTAGTTTGTTGATTTGGAACCACTTTTCTACCCTCAACACTCCAAGGTATAGTACATGCAATATAGCGTTATCTGCCAGTTTTTTTTTTTATCATTTGATGGTAGGCAGTCATTGATTCAAATCAGGAAGTGTTTGGGTCTGAGATGAGCCCCAAGATTGTTTGGTGTAGTTTTGTCAGCTCTAAACTGAAACATCCGCGAAAGATACTCGGAAAATTAATGGAAGTAGAGCTATGCCTCTGATGCCCAATCCGAACGTTACTTAGTCAACTGTCAAAATTTAATATTTTCGGCAAATACATACATTTCGGCCGTAAAGTAAGGAACAAATTCAATAATTAATTCTCTAAGCAATTTTTTTAAAAATCCTCGAACACGTCAATTTTATTTTTTGTCGAGCATTTTCTAGAAAATAAAATTATTATACAGGGTGGTCGCAGAAAAGCTGGACAGGTGGTAACTTAGTTTTTTTAAATAGACACCCCTAATTTTTTTCACATTTTTGGATTTCTGATAAAATTCTAAGTATTTTTCATGAAACATGTCCTATACCTAAATTCAACTGTTTCGGAAATATTGACAGTTGACAATTGACTTTTTTGCAAATTTGAGAGGCTGTAAAACCTAAACGGTTAATTTTAGAGGAAAACCGATTTCACATTCCTGTCTTAGATTTTCATAAGCTATCATATGACAACAACCTTGAATTTAATACATGTTTAAAAATTCCAATTAAATTTAATCTCCGGTTAAATTCAGAGTTGATGTCAAATGATAGTTTATGAAAATCTAAGATAGGAATGTGAAATCGGTTTTCCTCTAAAATTAACCGTTTAGGTTTTACAGCCTCTCAAAGTTGCAAAAAAGTCAATTGTCAACCGAGTTGTCAACTGTCAATATTTCCGAAACAGTTGAATTTAGGTATAGGACATGTTTCAGTTTCATGAAAAATACTTAGAATTTTATCAGAAATCCAAAAATGTAAAAAAATAGGGGTGTCTATTTAAAAAAACTAAGTTATCACCTGTCCAGCTTTTCACTCAGTAAATAAATCGATTATCAAGTTTTTATTTATATCTCTCAAAACATGTTAACGTGTAGGACACCTGGAAATCAACTAATTTTGATTGTTAATTCCCTTGATATATTCATCCAAGGTTCAACGAAGTTCTTCCGGCGCCTCAAACGGACGCCGAGTATTGTCGTTTGGACGACGCGACTCTATCAGGCTGGGAGTCAAATGGGAGCGTCCAGGGTCGCGACATGTCAATTGCACCAACAACAACGCAGAAGACGACATTCATTGTGCCTCTCAAGCCGACGACAAACTTGTTGAAACCGGTGAGGGTGTGATGATGCATTATTAAATTGTTGTTGCGCTTATTAGTTTTTTTTTGTCTAGCGCTCATATCGCACATCTCATTCAAGAGATTTTCTTTTCAAATTTAACTCAAAATAACCATTTCTAGGACACTATCAAAATGGACAACTTGGAGCAAAAAATTCTCATCAGTTATCTAACATAAGATTTGAAATAAGCCAACCTGATATCGAAAACCAATCCCCAAAATTCCAAGCAACTGTGATAGATACTGACCAAGAGACTAACACTAACGATATAAGAAAAAATATCAGTGATAGAAGGTTAGAATTCTTAGGTCATGAGAGTAAGTCGCTCTTTTTGGTGTCACGAGTAAAAATAGTGCTTTCAAGTACTCAGAAAATACCAAAACCTGACATCCCTTTATCTGACAAAACTTTTGGTAAATTCCTTGGCGTTGGTGATGGTGCCTCGTTAGCCACAATGGAAACGTCGGTGGATTCTATTGGAGCTTGTTCTATTGACATGGAAGGGTCTAGGGAACTATCTGCAGGTATAGTTTATTCTTTAGGATGTGTGCATGTGATTTGAGTTTAGACTACCCTAAAAGTGCTGTTGTGGAATGTTTGGAGCTACAATTTTTCTTTTGTTCTGGGACTAGAGCTAAATTAAATTTAGTAAAGGAAAAATTCTAGCATACAAATTACCTATTATCCATTCACAATCCGATGTCCACAGGTACAGGTAAAATTTATCACCTTTCAATGCTATTTGATAGGGAAAGGTGATAAATTTACCTGTACCTGTGGACATCGGATTGTGAATAGGATATAGTTATGGTTTAACTTCTGGTGAACCAATGGCCATAAATTTAAACTATGGAATAAAATTTTGTCTTTAGTAAAGATAAAATTTCCCAACAAAGTCCAAACAGCACTTTTGAAATATTGTGTTTGTAAAGCATTATTATTTTTTTTTAACACATTAGAGCTTAAGTTTGCTTGTTTTTGCTATACGTAACACGATTTGATTAGAAACTGGCTTTTAGGTCACGCACACTCTTAGTGGATAAAACGTACTAGCACAAAGCTTCACTTAGTCCGAGAGCATGCAGCAATAATTATTCTTTGTAATAATTAATCATGCAAGCTCTCAGACTAAAACTTGGCACCACTGTCCCATTAGCCATCTGATTTAAATGATGTAGCTGCCTTCTTTTGTACACAACATGTACAGGGTGGGCCAATTTGGACACTTTTAATAGGAAACATCAATTTCTGAGCGAGATACAAAAAAATGAACCTCCCACTCTGAGGCTCATATTTTATAAAATTTTGATTGGTGTAAACCGCATTTTGATATCTTCAACCGTTTAGCCGCTAGAGGGCGATTCTCGATTTTAAGCAATAATGTGAAACCTTCATAACTTTTTTGTTTATGAAAATAATTGATTTCCGTAAAAACTTTCTGAAAGCACTTTTTCAAGCAGAATTCAGTGACGTTCTCAGTTTTTTTCTATTTGGTCCCAACTCCGAGATATTGACCAAATTCTGGTTTTTTTCAATAGGACACCCCATATATTAATAGCTCATTAGAAAGCTCTGCGTTTTCTGATTTCAATGATATAAAGTTCGATAGGTTTATCTCTAATTATTTTCGAGAAAAATAGTAGTTTTCCTAATCAGTGCGCAAAGTTATGTTTTCCCGCACGCGAAAGCAGTTAGACGAACGACGCGTAGCGGAGTTCGGTTAAGCTTTAAGTGCGGGAAAACTACTTTGCGCACGTGTTAGGAACAATATTTTTTCTACGAGTGAAATAACTATACTTCCTTTTTAAATTTTTAATTTCTATAGGCGATAATAGTTATTTATGATGTAAGTGTTAAAAGTACATTTTCAAGGAACGCATGTGAAAGTTTGCAGAATGAGCGAAGCGAATTCTGCAATTCACATAAGTGCCTTAAAAATACTTTTAACACAAATATCATACAATATTTTTTCTACAAACGGCAATAAAAAGCGATAACCGGTAACAAATTGGATTTTCATAATGAAGAATAAATTGGAAGAATCTTTTTTACATAAAATTATTGAATTTGACATTTGTCAATAAAGCCAAACAACCAGCACCTTGTTTTACAGGTAATAAAATATCTTGTCAGTTTCGTCAGTTTCTTGAAAGTCTGTCGTGGTCAGTAATGCTTTTTGTTAAAAATGCAACAAAATACAGAAGAAAAAGAGGGCTGCATCGATCTCTTGAAAAATATAGATGAGGCGGCCAATCGGGCTACCTCAGTTGTTCAAATTTTACTATTAATTTTAATGTAAATAACTAGAAATACAAACTTTTTTTGAGGTTCGCTCTCAAAATTTGATGTTTCATTTTTAACACTAGTGCTATAAAGACTTTATGGCACTAGTGCGATAAAGTAACATTTTTAATGCTACGGGGGGGTGTTAAAAATTGCATTTTTAACACGTTTGTAGAAAAAAACAATTTGTTGTAACTAACTATTAACCAAATATGGGGCTCTCGCAGGGCTTTGCCCCCCAAATAGGGGGCCCCCAGATTTTATTATGGGTACCAGAAAAAAAGTGTGCGGGAAAATGTTTTTCCCGCATAGTGTGCTACTTTGCGCACATTTTCGGGAAAGGGCTTCTTTGCGTACGCAAAAGTGTGCGCAAAGTAGGTAGAAAAAAATTATTTCGGTTTTTGTCATAAGAAACAATGCGTTGGAAAGAGACCTTTCTCAGTTTCCTTACAGATATAAAGTCCTTTTCTTACCGAAATAATTTTTTTTCTCGAAAACTGTTAGAGATAAACCTATCAAACTTTATATCATTGAAATCAAAAAAAGCAGATCTTTCTAATGAGCTATTAATATATAGGGTATCCTATTGAAAAAAACCAGACTTTGGTCAATATCTCGGAGTTGGGACCCACTAGAAAAAAACTGAGAACGTCACTGAATTCTGTTTGAAAAAGTGCTTTTAGAAAGTTTTTACGGAAATCAATAATTTTCATAAACAAAAAAGTTATGATGGTTTCACTTTATTGCTGAAAATCGAGAATCGCCCTCTAGCGGCTAAACGGTTGAAGATATCAAAATACGGTTTGCACCAACCAAAATTTCATGAAATTTGAGCCTCAGAGTGGGGGGTTCATTTTTTTGTATCTCGCTCAGAAATTGGTGTTTCCTATTAAAAGTGTCCAAATTGGCCCACCCTGTACATTTAATCACCGGATCATCAGTTTGGCTTGGCGCACTTTATTACCAATGCTATTCATAGTTTCTTTTTAAATCTTCTGGTTTCGTTTTATTCACATTATTTTTATTTACAAAAAAATAAAAATCCACTTTTTTGTTTTCCCATAATGTAAGTTATGAAATTGGAATACCTAAATGAAACTCCAAACCGATCTACCTAAATAAAAATCCACGCTCAAGGATTTTATCTAGAGAAATGCCAGCCCTAATATGGAGCATTTTGCCTATAATGAAAATAACAACCACCTACCTTTATTGAATGTAGCATGTAGCATGTCCCCTAGAATCAGATATGTTTAATCAATATAATCACATATTACCCTCGCCATAGACAAGAGCTAGTCTTTGGGGAGTTGACATGCGTTTCCCGAGTTATTTGTTATTGCTTTATAGGTTTAGACATAGAGAGTCACGAATCAAAATGTTAATATAACCTGAAAATAATTCACAGATGATTAGATTTCCTATATTCGTTCCTCCCATATCCTAGGGCTTCGCTACTGCGGATTGTTAAGGGAAGTTTTCTAATCCCAATTTGAATATATGGATTTCGGGTTCCCCAAAAATTCACTTTATCGAAATGTACTCAATAAATCTCATATTCAAACTGACTGCAGCAAACCTCTTATTGGGACTATCTCTGAGTAACCGAGCACTATTTATAGCCTACTGTCCGTCGTTTTTAATCTGACACTTTCCGTATGGAGAGCGAGGGGTGAAGCATATGGCAAAAAGGTGTGACGTCAGGTGACCATTGGCGTTCTAATGTAGGGTGCTACCCGAGGTGCTACCAGATCACATTCCTTTGGCGTATCATATTAAAATCGACAGACTTCACATTGTACTCGGGACTGGGACTTATCTAGAAAATCCCGGCGCCTTTCTCAAATAGAATTCTCCGAATAGTCGCGGTAGACGTAAGTAAATAGATTCCTAGAATGCTGGCCGGGTTGTCGATGCATTTTCGTAACACTACCTGCATCTCAATTCTACTTGAAATTTGAAATTTTCCTCAAGGCAGTCCTGCTGTTCTTTCTGTCTCCGCTCTTTTTGTTGCTGTATGTACAAGCGCTGCAAGCCGGTCCTGTTTTTGTAGTGAAACTTCTTTACGCACGGTTGAGTAATTTCGTTTCATGCGAGTTCTATACAGGGCGACAATTTGAAAAGTAGCAATCAGGAATACTTCTTAGACAAAAATACTATCAGGAAGATCTCAGATTTCGTATCGGGGGATTGGAGGGGGAACCAAAATGAGCCACTTTTTGAGTCACCCTGCCTCACCCCTTAGGGGATAGTTACCCCAACTTATTTTTTTTAAATACGAACCTACCTTGTGTGTGTTGCACATCGTTGGATAGCTCGTTGCTATCCCTTTACATACAGTCCTGTAGAGAAATCTTAAATCGTACGATTAGTTTTTGAGATATCGGTGTTTAAATGGAGGCACATTGTGAAAACTAGAAATTTTAACTATCTCATAGACAAAAAAAATCTGTCATAAAAGTCTCGAATACACATCGGCGAAACCAAATAATTGTGTTTATCGTAATTCTATCTGCTTCTGCACGTCTCTAAAGACAAATAAAAAAACTTTCAAAGTAGCTACCTATCACACGGAGTAGGTTCTCATTTTAGAAAATTTATTAGGAGCGGCTAGACCCAAGACGAGGGGTGGGGGTTAGGCAACATTTGGTTTCCGATGTGTATTTGAGACTTTTATGACAGAATGCTTTTGTCTAAGAGATAGTCAAAATTACTAGTTTTCAAAATATGCTTACTTTTAAACACCGATATCTCAAAAACTAATCGTCCGATTCGAGATTTTGCTATGTGACTGTAAAGGGATAGCAATGAGCTATCGAACAATGTGTAACACAAGGTAGATTCGTATTGAAAAAAAAATAAGTTAGGGGTATCTACCCCCTAAGAGGTGAGGCGGGGTGACTCAAAAATTGCCTCATTTTGGTTCCCCCTCTAATCCCCCGATACGTATTTGAGATCTTCCTGTTTGTACTTTTTGTCTAAGAGATATTCCCGATCGCTACTTTTCAAATTGTCACCCTGTATGTAACGAAAACATGCAACGCTAGACATTCCCTCTACTGCCGCGTTGTCGGGTTAGTAGTGGGTACCGATAATTTTTCAGGATTGCGTGTTTTCTATAATTTCGCGAATGACGGCTCGTGATTTTGTCAAAAATGTCATGAGCGAAATTGCCGAAAAGCAGCAAACTTGAATAAAACCTTGAGAACAATTTTGCCTACACAATTTTTTCTCGAGTGGT